CCCCAAAACCCCAAAACCCCAAAACCCCAAAACCCCAAAACCCCAAAACCCCTGGGGTGAAGAATATAATTGAATGAAATGTTAAATTGATATGGGCGTTCTATGCTTTCATTAATATCTAGTTAATAATAAATTTAGAAATGCTGAATCATATCTTCTTCTCCGTCAAGATTAACTTCTGTTAGGAAGTATGAATCAATAATCTCTTCTGAGAGTTTGTAAAGTTTACTATCTTCGTGAGTATAAAAGCTCTCAATCGTATCTAGGCCTCCACAATTCTCCACAATTAAAGCAAATTGGTTCTCTCCTTCCTCATTGGTCAAACTCTGTTGGCCAACATCAAGGCAATTTCTGATTCCTTCTAGAAGAACAAATGTAGTTGGCATATCAGTTTTATTTTTTAATAAATAACACAAAGCTTCGATTCCTTTTCTCTTCACAATTTCTGAAACGATGTCGGGATCTCTCAAAGTAGTTGCGTTAGAAATGGCCCGGCCAGCTTCTCTCTGAATGGTATGGTCATCATCATGGCAAAGGTCAATCATCTTGTCAATGACTCCTAGTTCTATCAATCATGAAATCTGGCTGATTGTTCCAGCACAAATGTTAGATAATGTCCAACAAGTTTTCTTTACAATTACTTTATCTGGATGAGATAGCAGAGCATGGAGACGAGGCAACACCTGAGCACCAATGACAGCCTGATTCTCTTTATCGTCTCCTGTCATGAAGTTGACAAGTGTTCTCACTAATGGAACAATTATCTTAGCATTGCAAGAATTAAGGTGAAGGATAATTGTTCTCATAATTCCCAACTCGAGCATTTTATTAATTGTCTGCTCTCCGGCATCTGAGATATCGAAAATAGCCCATGCACAATCAATAATTATCTCCTCTTTGTCATTAATTTTGAAGGACTCATTGATAATAGGAATGATATATAAAAGCTCCTCAATTGTTGGAAAAGGCCTGCCCCACAATAAGTTAGAGATGCACCACATGCAATTCCTAGCCATCACTGAGTTTGGTTCCGCATTTTTGAGAATATTCGCCAGTGGCTTTAGAGCTTTTTCTTCAAGAATCATAGCTCTATAGCGAGAATCTTCACTAGAAATATTTCATAAAGCCCGTGTGCTCTGTTCAATAAAATTCATTGGGTGAGGACAATGCAATATCTCTTGTCCTAATTCATTCTTCTGAATGGTTCCAAGCAAGTTGGTGAATATGGGGATGACGCCTTTATCAACTAGAGCCTGCACATGCTCAGCTTTGCCACGAGCAATGTTTGTAAGACACCACAAGGCTTCATACTGAATTTTAGGAATATCATTCCTACAAGTCAAAGCAATTAGCTGAGACAATAAGCCCGTGTCGATTATATTCTGGATCAGAGAATTGTCAACAATTGATAGCATTTTCCTCAGTTCAACTACTGCTAATAAAATGCTATGATCTTCGTCAGAATTGATCAGCTCCTGAAGAAGTGGTAAATCAGAGAGCTCAAACTTTACATTCTCTAAGATTTCGAAGTAATCCATAATGGACATCTCTTCTTCCCATAATGATTGTGCTTGATCAATAGTGTGCTCAATCTTCTCAGCCAGAATGTCTTTGGCATTAGTTATGTCAGACTGATCATTGACATCATAATTTCTGTTCTTTGCAAACTTGTTGTTCTTGATCTCTTTCCTGCTCGCTTCATTGTGCTCACTTAAGTTATTTTTAAGTAGGTCAGCATCTTTGTTGTTTAAAAATTGGTTTGTTCTGTTCTCAATTCGACTGGCTACTTTCAGAGAATCCTTATTTAAGGTTTTATTAATGTGGAACAACTCACCCTCTTGATTTGTTTTATTTTCTTCCATTTCTGATAAATTATTACAAAATCATTTTGTATGAAAATATTAGGGGTTTTGGGGTTTTGGGGTTTTGGGGTTTTGGGG